CATGCCAAGCTGCTCCACGTAGATATGCACACAATGTTTGTACATATTCCCACCCATAGCAAAAGATTAAAGTACCAAAGTACAAATCTAAGGTTTAGCCAGTAACTAATGTTTTAAGGACAACTATATATATATATATGTTAGCAACATCCAGATGCAGCAGTGGTATGGCTTTGGTCCATCAACCCCAGAAGACCTTTGCATTTCGCAAGTTTTTGACGTCATTCTGAGCTTCGCTCATTTTTTAAGACTATCCCAGTTTCACATGTCTGGCAATGATTGTGATTCAAAGATAGCTTAGGTTGTGATTCAAAGATAGCTTAGGCTGAGATGCAGTAGCTTAGGCTGAGATGCAGTAGCCTCTTCAGTGATTCTTTCAGATCTTCTTGGGTTCCAACGGTTGGTCATATGCCGTGGATCCATGCCTTGCATGAGCGCACGGGATCGTTGGCGCACTTGGCGCACTTGGCGCACGGGCACCTCGGATGATCCAGTGTGTGGTGCCAGGGGAAGGTGGTCCAAGATGGGGAAATTCTGTTTTAATCCTCTGGACATAGGGAAAATCTTATTATTTTTCGAAAACAACAGAAAAATAAAGCATGTTTTTTCCACTTTGCAGCGTTTTTGCAGTAATAAGACCAACGGACGGGGGTTCTATCCATTCTTGAAGACTTTTGAAGTCCCTATAAGGAGTCCTTATAGTCCTTATAGCTATATGGCTTTACATCAACCACCTTCAATGGCTCCTTCAATGGCTCCGACATTTACTGCCTGAACTCTACCGCGGTTGCGGTTGCTGAGTTCCAACAAGATCATCATTCTGACCATCAACGCAGCGGCAGATTCTGAAGTTGCTTCCATCATGTGTGTTTCGTTGATGGTTAATCATCATTCTTGTGCAGAATCAACCAAACCCACTTCAGTTTCTTCCATCAACCGCAGATTCTATTTTTTCTTCCATCCCTAGAAGATGATTCCAAATTCACCAGCTGGGAGTGAGCATGAATCATGCTGGCCCAGAGTTGGTACCCTCCAGGAAACATACAAAATGATGCGTAAAACATACCATGTGTATACGATGTTGCTGGGGATACCATGGATGTAGAACTGGCAACCGATGGTCCCATGTGCCTTCATTGATGAACAAAAACAATGGGTTGATGGCTACAAACAATTATCTTGATGATTCAACAATCCGTGAAATCCCAGTTGTGAGCTTCACATCATACTGTAAATCTCTCAATGTGTTGATGCTTGGTGTTCTGATGGTTAGATCCCAATTGTTGGACAAAGCCAATGTGAATGTGAGGCTGGCCAAGCAATGGACGAGGCAGCTGAAGCATTTGTTGTGGGCAGATGGGCGGATTCTGCGGGAGAGTTCACCATCAAAAATGGTGACTTAAAATAGATCCATGAAACACTGGAATTGAAGCCTCACAAAAAACTGATTTGATCATCTGGGGATTTTGGCCAATTTAGCATAATTTAGCCAATACAATCTCGGTTTGTCCCAAGAATAGGGTCTCCAGAATTGCCATGTGAGATTCGCCCCTGCTGGGATCATACCCGGTGGTTTCAACGATGATTTTCTTCATGTGTTGCCTTGAAGAAGCTATAGAAATGATGTGTCATTGTACTAAACCCACAACCAATATGTTCGGAATTATTGGTTTTTATCCAGCAACCAGAAATGTAAAGTGCCGATGGGTATGGATTAATGCTTCAGACTTGGGGAACTGCACATTTGAGCCACGTTAAACCTGAAACCTCCTGTTTCCAAACTAATGCCAACACCGGATTAATAACGCCCCCCCCGGCGCCCACAAGGTCAGATGGACCTTGTCGAAGCTTTCCTGCTTCACCCGTTAATAAACGCCCTCTGAGCCATAAAATTTTGGATATTGCCTGGAACCTATAGAAGTCAATTAGAATGAATGGGCAAATCCAAAGAAAAAAACATTAGGGACATGGGGGTTGATTAATAAGGGGCAAACCCTGGTTCTTGTTAATGGGGGACATGGGCTCATGGGGGGTACCCTTTGGGAGCTATCCAGCTATCCAAACTGATGATTTGTGTAAAGAATTTAATTAGACTTCGATCATTTGGGGAATAGTAGTTTTTTGAAATTTTCAATGATCAGCAGTGATGGATTCTGAGATTGATGAGACATGATGAGAAACAAAAAGAATTGGAAATAAAAACTTTTGGAAAAATCTGAGATTTCAGCACTGGGGGTTGATGAAAATTATGTTTTTATGCCAAAAAGTTTAGACAAATCCAGGGGGACCAGCTGTTTTTAAATTACCAAAAAACATTGGGGAGGAGGAGGTTGATTAATCCAACTGGCCCTGTGAAAGTCGATTCTCATGACGGATCCTAACGGTGCTGCTATATATGGTGTGCCATGGATCCCATGAATATACCCCAGTCATGTTAGCATATATACCAGCACCATGGATCCTATATGTGTATAATATATATATATATATATGTGATGTCATCCGAAACCCATTGACGAACTCCATCATTTTTCAAGATGGTTAAAACCACCACCAAGCAGTACAAATCATGGGTCAATGTAAACCTCAAACCATGGCGTGGAATGATTCGCAACTTTCCATAGGAGCGGACGACTCACACGCGCACCTTGCCACCCCCACCAGACAGGACGAGTTTTTTCTGGGTTCAAGGGGAGGACTTGAAGCGATGGAAACACCTACGACATGGTTATGTCGTGAAAATCCAATAGCAAAATTCAATGGCTTAAGCGATTGTTTGGTTCTTGGCCTTTGGAAGATATTCCCTCCCTGTGGTGCAATGATCGGAGTATATCGGAGTTTACATGACCAATACATACACCATGTGTTGCATCTTTAGGTATACTTTGACCCTACAAGTAGTCATAAAAACTGTGTTCTACCCAATAGTGTTAGTATGTTGTTCCATTGTTTGGGGTATTTGGAGGGTATCTACCAATATACATTTACCCATCTCACAACATTTGAGTTGCTTACCGTCGTAGACCATATAGTCATATAATTTGGAAACACAGGTTTTGCCAAATTTGATATTCCAATGGCGCCAACCGGCAAATTTAATGCATTGAACATCAATTTCAGCGTTTTCATGTATAAACAATTATAATCTATAATCATGTTGTATCATATTGTTTTAGATGTATTTATCCTTGTTTGCAATGTCATAGAAGTTCTTCACAACTTTTTCTGTATATACAGACATGTTCCATATCTAACTTTTTTTTGTATATACAGACATGTTCTATATCTATATATATATATATGTGTGTGTGCATGGCCTGTGTTTGTTTTTTTTCAATCATTTCTCCTCCAGTGACTCCGGCGCAGGAGTGATGAGTCCCAGGCGGGTTTATGATGGGTCGATGCGTCTCAGTACGAAGTCATGTTCCAATGACTTGGATGATTTGAGGGTACCCTTATTGTAGGAACCCCCCAACTAGTAACAGTACTTGTTATAATATATACTAACAGTATATGTGGTCTTTTGTTACGGTTCATTGTTGTACTAAAACAGTACGAGTGGCAGAAAACGAATTGTTGACCACGATTTACAGTAACAGTAACCGATTGGTTAATTCACGTAGTTGTACGAAAAATACAAAAAGTGTTTGATCAGGGAAGACTATACATAGTGCATCAGTGAAGATGTATGATTTCTTCACTTTTACTTCCTGAAATGTACCTGAAAGAATACAGTGCTTAGATGTGTTTAATACCATCTCTGTACAATTGATATGCGTAGGCTGCGTAGGTACGCATAGAGATTGGATAGTTGGGTTAGTTGGGTTTCAGGGATTTAGACCACCTGAAAAAATTGGTCAGATAGCCTCTGGTTATGACTAACATAGCCATGGAAAGATCCACAATTTTTAAGTTCGGTAAACCATCTATTTCTATGGGCCATCTATACCATGGCTATGTTAGTCATATCCAGAGGGTACCTGTTTGGCAAAATTCTACTTCTGCATTGTGCTGTGTTGGTTGTAATTGAATGCGCGAGTCAGACGGTACTTCTTGGCGTAGAAGTCTTGAACCTTGCTCACACATCTTTTGATGTGGAATGTTTTGAAACTCTTTTCCTTTGTTTCTGCGAGCCTATCACAATCGCAGTCATCATGTCTGCTTTCACAAGTTGCTTCCGAAAACATCCAAACCATTGTCATTGTCGTCTTTGTTACCTTCTGGTAAACTAACATAACTATGGAAAATCACAATTTTCAATAGGTAAATCCACCATTTCTATGGCCATGTTCAATAGCTATGTAACAAATTACCAGAGGGTATCCTTTCCTTAGCTGGTTGTGTGCTTGTTATTCCCCATCCATTGATATTCCCTTCGTCGTGTGTCGTGGTGTTTTTTTTGCCCAGCCATCCAGTCACGTCGGAAACATCCTGTTTCTCCTAAATCTCTGCAGGTCTATCAATGCTTCACTGGTTGTTTTGAATGCAGTTAATTTAGAGAATATACCATCTGGTTATGACTAACAGTCTGCCATGAAAAATCACAATTATTATTAATAGGTAAACCATCTATAAATGGACCAATTTTCCATGGCTATGTTAAATAACCAGAGGGTATGATATATGATATATGTACTTGTTTCAAAATCTCCACTGGGATGATCTTAACTGCCCAAATTTATCCGGTGATCCGGTGACATCACCAATATTGTACCATCTTACCCCCATGTCATCAGTCTCGTATCTCCCTATTCTGCCTATGCTTGATGGTTGCTTGAAAATCATCAGTCAAAAACAACACATCGAAATCTCATGAAATCGGGCACCCCACCAGAAAAAACATCAAAAAATGGGTGGTTACCCTAGGGTAGACATAGACAAAGATGTGGAAAACATATGGAACACATGGAAAACCTATGGAAAACCTATGGTTTCCCTAAGTTTTTCCACTGTTTCCACCTCCAAGTCAACCTTTTTCCTGGGGGGATCTGGGGTCATTTCCAGGTGCTAAAAATGAGCGAAGCGCCCCCAGAGAGGTCCGACTCAGAGGTCCCGTTGGTTTCGACTCACCGCGATTTCTGGAGAAATACTGGGAATATCTGGGAAATTATAGTTAATATATTAATATGATTTCTGTCAATATATATATAGATATATGATATATATATAGTATTATATGGTTAATATATAGTTAATATACTGAGTGTGGTCCCAATTGAAAATAGTTCTCAGGTTATCCATGTTTATCCTCTGTTGTGAGTCCGTTGTGGTGTGGTCCCAGTGATCAAATTAACATAATAATCTTGAATAGTTAGTATACTCAGTTGCTGATCAATCACTTGGCTGGTTGATTACTGAGATCACTTAAGGTTGATTACTGAGATCACTTAAGGCTGGTGATTGACTTGTTTGTTCGTTAAACTATAGTTTGAATTCCTGAGCATGTTCGCACAGTTTCTGACTCCCAGCGATTGAATCAAATGACTTTGATGTGACTTGTATGCTACTTGTAGCTCGTGCATGGACAATACCATCTTCATATGCGTGCGCAGCGTGAATGAACAAGTTAAACTATGTCAAACTATAATTCGTTCATCAACCAATCTGGGAATAGAATCAAGGGAATTGCAAACACATGCAACAAATGCTGGGGGATGATATCCACTGATTTGTAGTTGTATGTCTGTTGCTTTTCATCTAGATGTCATCCCCGTTCCCAAACTCTTTGCTGACGGGTTGCTGAAATATTTTTTTTGTCTGATCCTTGGCTGATCCACCATTTTTCAGGAAATCTTCTGAGAGGATTTTACTTTTCTTGGCCCAGATGATATGAATTATGTTGGAACCCGAGGCCAGCGGAGTATCAGCCATGATCAGCCTGGCTTCTTTCATGGCCATATGGCCACCTCAGCCATGATCAAAGTTTAGACCCCCAGCCACTGGTCACTGGTCATGGATCATGTCATTTCCAATCCATAGAGCCCAGCAAATTTGATGCATCAAAGGGTGTGGCAACAGCCATGGCTGATGTGTGATGACGATGAGCGGTTGCAGTTTGGGGCTGGGCTCCTTCAACCCAAAATTTCTCGAGATCCATTGGTTACAGTCATGATATCTCTGTGATCATTTGATCAGTCATGAGATCAATTTACTGATATCTCATGATATTTGGTTCAATATATGGTTAAAAAGAGCAAGTGATTGGGGGAATCGCATCTTCAGACAGCCCAAGATTGTTCTCGTGCAACCGCTGCGTTAGATAAGTTGCATGATCTCACTTGAGCGACAGGAAACCCTGGGCGATGAAGAAGCGGATGATTTTCTGGACTATTTGCCTGACAGGTTGGGGTTGGACCTGCAAGTCCAGTTTCAATCAATCCAATGCTGCTGGGGGAAGCCAAGCCTGAGAATGATACTAGCTGCTAGCTGAAATGTGAATGCATAATTCTGCCAGCGCAAAAAAAAAGCTCAATGTACAATTGGCTACTCGTATTGTGCTACTATGCGTATTGCTTAGTTTCAGATACCCTCTGGTTATTTAACATAGCCATGGAAAGATCCAACATTTTTAATAAGTAAACCATCTATTTCTATGGGCCATTTCCCATGGCTATGTTAAATAACCAGATGGTATTGCTTAGTTTCAGATATATGGAGTCAACTTGGCGGTCCTGGCTTTCAACGACTTTAAGCCATGAACTGATCATCAGCCTACACAGATGGCAGTGGCCGCATGGGGATAGTAACCGTCCATTCCCATGTGCAGATGAGTTTCCCAAAGACAAAGTCCGATAAGTTCTTTGATTTTTGGAGATTTTGGGGGAGTCAACACCTATGACCATTACTGGTTGGTGGTTTGGAACATTTTTAATTTTCCCATATATTGGCAATAATAGTAACCCTAACAGACTTTCATATTTTTCAGAGGGGTGGCTCAACCACCAACCAGCTAGTTTCAATATGGTTTAACATTGATTTAACGTGAAAAGCCATCTGTAAATGGGGATTGTCCATTGCCATATTTGATTACCGGAGGGTACCTAGCATGTTATCCCCTTGGTGTTTCTTCGATTTTGGATGCTCATTGACGTTGCACATTGGTCATGACACCATGTGGTGATGAAGTCTAGCCAAGGCCAGAGGAGGGCAGCGAGCTATCTGCAGAGGCGCTGCAGTTGTCCAACGGTGCAACGTTTCGGTTGATATATATATATATATATTGACAGAAATCCTTTTAACTTTTAACTATATATTAACTACATATTATCTATATGTTACCATCTTATTATCTAACAGAGCCATGGAAAGATCCACCATTTTTAAGTTCGGTAAGTCATCTATTTCTATGGGCCATCTATACCATGGCTATGTTTGTCATAACCAAACGGTAAGTTATTGGCTTTTGGTAAAAACCGTTCAACGTTCATCTGAAGCTTTGATCGGAGATTCTCTTTTCCAGTTTTCGCCGACATGAAACTGCTGAGTTTCTGGTTATGTCAAGCACCGGTGACTCACCCCATCCCAGGATCGTCTTCCTTCAATTCTGCGAGGGATTTTGGAGGCTGGTTATATATGGAAAACCTTGGGGAGTCTATGGAAAACCCTCGATTTTCCCAGAGGAAAAAAGGCAATCTCCACATTCTCTCGGGGCAGTTTTTCATCACAATCCTTGATGGGATAACCACCCATTGCCTGAAAACAATCTACATACACATACACATTTGATTAGACTACACATAGACATATATATTATACTATTATTATTATTATTCATAATATTACATAATATATATATATATATGTAATATATGTATAATATACAGTACATACAATATACCATATCATGTGCTTCCACCCCACCTTGCGATCTTCCAGTGATGGTATCGTCTTCCAGGATGTGGACGACGTCTCTTCGGATTCCCAAGGAGTCCGCCTTGGCGGTGATTTTCACGGCCTCACTGCGATCTCATTGGAATGATGCTTAGTAAGGATAACTACCCTCTGGTAAACATACAAAAAACTATGGAAAATCACCATTTTTAATGGGAAAATCCATTATTTCTATGGTCATGTTCATTAGCTATGTAACAAATTATCAGGATAACTATCCCAGGTAGGTGAATTATCATGAATTATCCCCAAATAGAGGGATAACTATCCCAGTAACAGTTGATAACTATCCCCAAATAACCTGGATTTGTTTTTCCAGGTTAGTGAATCATCATTCAATATACCCAGGTATTTGATGATATTTGTATACATTTATATATACTTGCTGTGGTTGGTTGTGAAATTCTGAAACTGCATAAAATTGCGGCAGCATGTTTAAATTGTCATTGTGTTTGATTTTTGAAACATGAAAAATGTTGACACATATATTGAACCATCATGAACCATCTTTTTTTTGATGGTTGCAGGTTTTGAACCGCCCCACTTCAGAACCGAGCTGAACTGATTTGAACTGTCATGGTTCCAGGTTGCGAGAAGCACCGTTTTAGGTGTTATTTGTGTCTGGGTTGATGGTGTTATTACATGTTATTACTACTAATGTTAGTAAAGCAACAACAAACCACCCCTATTTTGATGATTTATACCACCCATGTATAGTAAAATTGGCGGTGGTTTACTATTGCTCTACTCACATTAAAAGAGTTTATTACTATATATTAGTATTAATTTGTTCTTATAAAATTGCTAACTCACTATAATGTTTCCGCATTTTTGTATCATGCGGTTTGATTTGTCGCATAGGAAATTGATTATGCAGGTAGATCCTTTTCAAATTTGCGTTTTCTTGCTATAAACTTTGAGACTCCACAAGTTGACATGAGAAGTTTGAATGCTGAATGCATTACTGTTGGATCATAGTTTCACGTTCTAAAATTCTCATATATTCTTATGTGTTCCCTTTTCTGGGGCATGATAACAATGATAGTTTGTTTTGCCCAGACTTTGTTCAGGTTCCTTGAAACCAGCAGAGGAGAAGCGGTTTCCGCGCGACGCTTACCGGGCTTGCCGCCTCAAGCGCCGGAGGTGTGTCCCAGGGATTCCAGCTCGCTGGAGATGGGGTGGTTTGAACACAGGGTTTTTTTCCCACTGAATCAGTAATGTCGGTTAATTAATATGTTAATACACATCAATCACTAGTTATCTCCCATTCTTTGAACATTGGTTTACTGAATCATCATTGTTTCTCATTTCAAGGGTTTGAATTTTCGGGGTACATATGTGTACATAGCAAAGCCTGGTGGAAGGTAGTGTCAAATACCCATCAAGCGGTCAATCAGTCATCATGCATCGAAACATGATGTGCATGAGCAACTCAGAAGATGAGTCGTTATACCCTCTGGTAAACTAACATGGCTATTGAAAATGACCATTTATAGTGGATTTTCATTGGATTTTCCCATTAAAAATGGTGATTTTCCATAGTTATGTTAGTTTACCAGAGGGTACCGGGTATATACAAGTTTGTAAAACAAAGTCAGGCAAGGAGAGCCACGCAAAACGTATGTTTGCTAGCCATTCTGAATGCCAGTGATATTTGGGACGGACCATTCGAATAGTGAAAAACTCCTGATAAATTTCGATAGGTTCATTCCCACCTATGAATTGATGATCTTCTTTTTTGTCAATTTTGGCAAACCAATGGAGGATGCCAATACCGCGGTTTGATTTTGGACATATTATCATTGTCTGTTTTCTTGTGTGGTCCATGGGTACAGTACAAGTTGTACCTGTTGGGAAGATAGCATCCCCGTTAGGTAAGCAGGATACAATCATCCCGGTACCCAAATGGTTGTTGGTTTCAAGATATCGTTTTAATTTTGTACACGATGTGTCTATAATGTATACAACTATATACATATTATAATATATGATATTACTATAGTATATATATATATATACACATTTTATTTATTGTACATATGAATGTACTATGGATGTAGATATGAATTGAATATATGTTTTTGTTTTTGTACATATGTTAATTTGATATATGTATGTAATAATATTACTTTAAGAATACTTGCAGGTTTTTGTAGGTATCCAATTATGTATGTTTAAAATGCGTAACGTGTATATATATATAATATGTATATATGTGTTTATATGAACATATGTATCAAATCCCTTCATATACATGTATACTGTATACATGCGCATGTCTAGGTGTTTGGAATCATGTAGTTGTCAAGACTTTAGGGATTTGTTGAAACCACCAACTAGTTGCTACCCAACGGCATTGTGTTTGAACAATCCGGGACAGTTCCATGAAAACCCATGGTTTGTTGGTGCATTCTCTTGCAAGTTTGAGATGTGTAAAACCCACATGCAGCTCGGATATAATGTGTTATCCCCCTTCAAGAAAGGTGGAACATGATGATCATCCAAAAAAAACATGTAGAACCCATGTTCATCCCAAAAAAATGTGTAAAACCTGAGTGTTTCCCCCAAAAAATGGTGAAAACCAATGTAAAACCTTTGTTCAACCCAAGAAAAACACATAGAAAACCTATGGAAAAGCTGTGAGAATGTTTCGTGGCCACCCCTGACTCCACCTGCCAGGAAAGGGCTTCCGGCAGTCATCAGGCCGTTGGGGAAGTCACTGAAATCGGAAGTTTATTTATGGCCCAAAATAAAACGGTAAAAAGTCGCCAAATTTTCAAAATAGCGTTTTTTTAGTCAGTTATAAGCCCAATTTTCATACTTTATGGAATGATAACCCCATATTTTAACCAGTTAAGTTACAATTATTACTGGTTTTTTGGGCTTTAACATGCTTTAACCCTGGGAAAGTTTGCAAAGAAGACATATCTGGGGATGTTTTATGTAGGCATAGAGATGTCACTGACTCGCCAACCACTACATATAATATAATGTAATTATGCTTAGTGGTACCATTACTAATTACCATATAGTACTACATATATAATATTATTATACCATTTGATTTGTAATTATGCTTAGTTATGTATGCTAATGGTATTATTATCAGATCAAATGGTTGCAATTTGCTGACGCTGAAGTTTTCCCACCAACCTAACGAAGTGGGTGGAATCCAGAAGTAGCTTCGAAAGCCTCCGGTGACGAGCTGAACTCCGATCCCAAGAGCGTTTTGCACATGGAAAGGATTGGAAAGGCTATGAGGTTTGTGGATCCACAATGATGCTGCCGAACCCGCAGATTTTGGGTTCTTGCACTTTGGGGATACTCCTACGTGGTATGATTGAGACAATAGGCCCTAGTTGATATTGAGGAATGGTTTATGGCATTCGGGATCCCATCATAGCCATCCCGATCATCGTTTCAATGGCAATGTTTTAAGTGCCCTCCAGCATTGTTTTAACTTAGCTATGGGGAAAACAACAAAACATGTTGGATGATTCGTACTTACATGATATTAATTACACATGGTGATGTTGTGATGTTTCGTAGCAAATTGTTGATCATTACCGGTGCAAAAAAGATATTACTTATCCCCACTGTTGGTGAACTCCCATGAAATTCAGCAGCCAAGCCTCCGTTGTTTGCGCACTAGGGCGAAGCACCTGATGCTCGGTGTTGGTGGCATGAACTCTCACTGGCGGGCACCCACAACAGCAATCGGTATTGGTAGATGATAAGAAACACACACTTCATGTATGTTTATTATTCTTATTATTAATATCTATCTTCAGGGTGTTCTTCAAATGATTCACATCATGTATATATAATTATATATATATATATATTTAAATATAAGTTTTTTTTTCGGGTATTAAAATGAATAGAATAGAAAGTAAATATTTTCACATCCAAACGCTGGGTAGTTCACACGGCTCCAGTTTTTTTTGGGTGTTGGTCAATATCCCCATGGCAAAATGATGTGAATAACAACGAAGATGGGGATATTGACCAGAGAAATGCTGGGATATTGGGGATATATTAAGTGAGTGGGGATATATTGATAAATGCTGGAAAAATGCTGGAAGATATATTTCCAGTGAGTTGTATGACAAACCTCATTGTCTCACAATGATATCGATGTGTTTTTTCTGTGTGAACATTTAAAACTCAGGTCATTGGACGGTCTTCAAGAAGGCATGTTCACAAGTTTTTCCACGTGGGTATGATTCGACATGAAATGAACCCTTTATGGTTCACATATAATGACCAAAATTATCATGGTCCATTCGGGTCCATTCGGTCCATTGATATCAAAAAATGACTTGACCGACCCATATCATCCCTTCTGAACCGTACGGTGGTTGCGAAATCCTGCACCACCAAACGGATGGTAGAAAACCTCTAAATTATGGGGTAAATCACTTATCGTTTGGTGCAGGATTTCTTCCAACTGTATCAATATTATAGTACATTAACTTTAGGTAGGTTTATAATTCCCATGAATACTATAGTTATAAGTCTCATCAACCATAATAGTTATTACTACCGTATCATCTCATTGTCCAAAGCTTGTTGTGACCCAGCTGATGGTCCGAACCCATTTGGAAGGGTTGCAGTGGATGCTGGGGTTGGAGGCTTCCAGAAAAATCGGTGTACCCTCTGGAAGTGAATTATGGCAATGGACAAGTATAACCCATTTTATAGATGATGTTCTTATTAAAAGGCCCCAAATAAGCACGGGAAGTTTCCCATTGCCATGTTTTACTACCGAAGGGTATGTGTTCTATTGCCAGGTGAAGCATTTTCAGCATATGCAGACAAAACGAGCCCATGAAAAACTGATTCGCTGGTCTCCCAATGAGTTTGCGAAAAAAAAAAACACCGAAACAAAAAGACTCGGGTCGTGTAACGTCTCCACCTCAACCAATGAGGGGTGCGAAATCTGACCTCACCAGATCTAACTGGGGGATGGAAATCCCCAGTCAACATCTGGCATCCCCAAAAATGCAAAAGAATGGCTAGTTTACATAACCAAAAGGGACCTGGAGTTTTTTTGCCATGGAAAACAACCATAACCAGCAACCGATTGTCATTTTCGGTGGACATGTGCGGACACTCAGCGACTGGACGCCTCAGGATTTAGAAGTTCTGGTCGACGGGTCGGATGGTGCAAAGTCGCCGATGACGCCCAAGCGCTTTGTCAGCAACTGATCGCCGGAGGCAGCCATGGTTTGCCCCAACAAAGTCCAGGAAAACTTAAAAAGTTGATGACATGTCATACTACCCTCTCGTAATCAAACATGGCAATTGAAAATACTAGCTGGTTGGTGGTTTGGAACATTTTTTTTATTTTCCCATATATTGGGAATAATCATCCCAACTGACTTTCATATTTTTCAGAGGGGTAGGTCAACCACCAACCAGCTAGTTTCAATATGGTTTAATATTGATTTCATGGGAAAAGCCTTTTTTTGGGGGGGGGGGGGATTGTCCATTTTTTCACATTTGATTCCCGGAGGGTTTTTCTTTGCATGTTATCCCCATGGTTTCATTAGTATTGGATGATACTATACATAGATGATATCCTATATACAAGAACGAAAGCATGTGCTAGTCATTGGTGTCCTTTTTCTTCACTATCTCATATTTGAACACATGTTATATATATATATGTTTCACTCCAGAGGATGTAACTATTCTCAATTACAGTCGTACCTTCTGGTAATTCAAAATAGGTATGGAAAGTCACTGTTCTTATAGGTAAATAGTCCACAAATGGGCCCTTTTCGATTGCCATCTTAGATTGCCATAGGGTAACAATCCCTTATGAATAACCTTTGGAATTTCAGGCTGGCCATATCCAGAAAAATTGGAAATCAAGGCCAATTGTTGTTTGTCCCTCATTGAAACTCAGTGTGTTGGTAGTTTTCTTTGTTGCGAAAATTGGGGAATAGATACCAATTTTTGTTACAGTAGTCAGTAGTCAGTAGTCCCTCAATGAAACACACTGCTGGTTGGTGGTTTGGATCATGTTTTTTTTTCTATATATATTGGGAATGTAATCATCCCATTTGACTTTCATATTTTTCACAGGGGTAGGTATACCACCAGACTGTGTTAGTTGTTCTTTTTTTGCTGCCTTTGTTTCGTTTCAGGCCCCGAAAATGTTCGCGAAGCCCCATCCGTTGATGGCGCCAATGATGTCAACCATTTTTTGGTAAAGGATGTAATCATAGAATTGGATGATGGGAAAATTGGAACCGGAAAGCCCGATCAATTTGATGGTAAAAACCCATGGTTTCCGGTTAAGATTTTCCCTTAAATCAATCCAATGATGTAAAGGATGGTTTTATCCACTGTTCATGGTTCGAATCCCCGGCGATGCTTGAATGGCGAGTTCTTTTGATGAGTTCCTGGTTTTTGATTTACCATCTGGTTATGACTAACAGTTTGCCATGGGAAGATCCACCATGTTTAATAGGTAAACCATCTATAAATGGGTCATTTTCCATGGCTATGTTAAATAACCAGATGGTACTCCGAAGCTTAAGACAGCGAAATCCGCTTCTTTGGTGGTGGAATTTCCCCTGTTTGATGGTGATATTCACACACCTGCCACAGGAGTCAGTGGACGGTGCTGCAGCGTGCGAAGGTGCGGTCTTTTGAACCATTTGAAATACTTTGCTTGATTGGTTGTAAAAGGAACTTGTACTACCTAAATCTGCCGAATTCATTGGATATATATATATAATATATATATATATACAGTTATATATATAGATTTATGATAAGCCATATGAATGGCAATGCGTTTTCAACCAACTAGTAACTAGTGTATAATGAGATGGGGCACAGTAGGGCAGGGGAAACTATCTACCAAGTATATAATATAGAGAGATGGGATACTGGTATTTTTGCATGGCTTATTTGGCGATGGGGTACCGTTCTTGGTTATGAATGATGAATTATATAACCATCATGTTGGGAAGCCGATAGTAAAAACCTACCATTTAGGTGATGGTCTATACCACCCATAAAAGTGGTATTCAATCTTAACAATCAACATTTGAGAATGGGGATTTAAGCAACAATAATGGAGATAGATGCGGATATTCAGTAGCCCTAATGGGGATACAGTCGGATAGTGGGTGGGATATAATGGGATACCCTCTGGTAATTAAACATATGGAAAAATCACCACGTTGATAGGTAAATCATCTATTTCTATCGTCCATTTTCCAGTTCGCAAACTGTTAGTTTACTGGAGGCTATTGCAACCAACAAGATGATACCGACGGTCGGAATGGTCAATAGCTGGTTGGTGGTTTGGAACATGGCTTTTATTTTTCCATATATTGGGAATAACAATCCCAACTGACTAATATTTTTTCAGGGGGGTAGGTCAACCACCAACCAGATAGCTATAATATGCTATAATTTTCCATGGCGGTGGATGAACTCCCAGCAAACTGGAGAGTTCACAAAAACGTGTCCCAGGGTGTGTTACTTTGGCCGCCATTGAAGTTGTGGTTACCATCATAGCATAATCGTGGGTACCAAACTAGTATATAATATTTAAATATATAATATATATATACTATTACACTGCAACATGTTATAGTGCAATAAGAGATATTGTTATACGATCATACATACTATGATGAGGGGTTGATCTGTTCGGCCCATGCCCATGTGTGATCTCGTTCTTGCTCAACCACCAATTCTTCGTGGAATGTTCATTCGAGATGTTGGTCAGCCACATTAAAAAAAAAACATGATGAATGGAGTGACAGAGGGCATTATTGTGGATGACATCACCTTAATATACATGGATGGCCCCTGCAAACCCTAGTGTAGTAGTATTGGATCAAATCTTTCTGGGGACCATATGAGTTTCACTTGATGAGGAAGTGGATGTTCTACACTTTTCTAGTGGGTATCCAAAGGAAATGTGTCCCTGCTTCCAGCACACCATGGTTAACTTTCCTGGAAAGCCAGGTTGGTGGTATGGTGATATGGTGGTGCTGACTGTTCCTACCTTTGGCTCTACCCTAGATTCGGAAGGCAGATCTAACTCATGGCACGGTTTGCAACTTGTTTTTTCCTACTAATCTGGCAAACATTGGTTTCAAACTCATGTCGTCAGTGTGTTGGACAACTAGTCACACATACTGTATCATATATATATATATATCATAACTGTACCCACATGTTGACACTGTTGAATCATTATTTATGACTGGTTATATTGGGATGAGTCAAACATTTAGCCTTATCAAAACATATCAAAACCACAGATTCTAGTGTATATTTCTAGTATAAGTTTAGTATCAACAATCCAATGATTGGGTAGATTGGGAAAAACAACTTGTAGCCATTTAGCAACCCAATCTCCATTGGATAGTCTTGTTGTCCCAGGGCGCAGTGCGGAGGAAGAAGAAATCCGAAGCGGTGCGGGGCTCATCCTTGTTGGAAAGGGGGGAGGAAGGGCAGCCGCTGGTATCAAACGTGGTATGGGTTGAAGTGGATCTTTTTTTTTTGTCGGCGCTTAACAACGGATCAGATTTACAAGGGGAATGTCATCATACTTAACCATACTTAACCAAGGTGCATGTTCAAAAGATCGGGTGGTGTATCCAAGGAGTTGTTTTTTCATTGCCGTCTGACATTAATTAAGGCGCTACTTCGATCGCCTTCCAGATTGTCGGTGGCGCGGCAGAAGTCAGCGACATTGTTCAACGACATGTTACCCTTTCCAGCTGAGTGGTTACCCTCTGGTAATTTAACATAGCTATTGAACATTGCCATTTATAGTGGATTTACCCATTAAAAATGGTGATTTTCCGTGGTTATGTTAGTTTACCAGAGGGTATCGATCTCAACTGGAGAAACATGTTTCAGCTCACCTCATGTGCGGATGTGCTTTGATTAACAGAACAGTTTCGTTTCTTGGGTGTTTTCCACTACGCCAATGGAACATAGCGGAACTAACCGCGCAAGTCTTTCAGTCTAAAGGGTGGAGATTCGCCACAACATGCTGATAAGCAAAGTTCTGTGAAGAAAATGAAGAACATGTAAAGGGACAAACAAAACAGAGTTGATGCATGTGCTAAACCCATCAATAAATATTAGTAGACCATCCCCAATAGAGGTTTATTGTATTTTATTGTTCCAGTTATCCATATTCATCATTGTTGGTTATAGACCCATTTTACATATATATATATATATACATATATATATATATGTATATTATATATTATCAACATTTATGAACCATTAATGTATGTGTTAACTGTTCACTGTTAACGTTAGTATATACCATGCATAGTATCAACCATTAAGAGTTCATTAACATGTATATACCCATGAAATCCCATTAACATCTATGCACCCACTAACATATGTGTCGACGTTCGTCCGTTCGTCGCAGGAGATCAGCACTGGGAGTTTCATCTTCGAAGACGATGTCATCTCCTCGTCACGTGGCCACCGGGGCTGGGCCGAAGGGAGCTTTAAAAGAGAGCTGGGTGGAGAAGTCGAGTGTTAGCCCATTGCATTTATATATAATATAATATATAGTATAATATATGTAATGTATATATAAAATTTATATAATATATATAATATATGTAATGTATACATAATATAGTATAATATTTTTTTTAAAAAAAATAATATATATATATATGTTACAGCTACAACACAAGTTTGATTTGTTCGGAGCTCAGCAACCGTAGGATCAGTGATGGAGAATTCCTGGCAATCCGACAGGGATGATGACAGAGGGTATGCAACGGGAAAATGCTATGGCAATACAAGATGGGGCCCCCAAGATAACTAAGTTGCCTTACAAGTGGCTAAAGATGGATTAAGTATTTTTTACGGTAGATATAACGCTATAGTGAATGGATGTTAATAGGCTTGATAAACCAACTTATAACTGGGGGGCACCATCCTGTAGAGGCTTCTACAAGAAATTGATGGGGACAGTGTCTGCTGACAGAGGTGTTACGCTTTGACCATGAAATCTCCGAGCAGTTTGCAGATTGGACCAGCAGTTGAGGGAACTAACCCCTGGCGAGCAGCACTTCTGGTGAAGTTTAGGTGGAAAGCCATAATAAAAATCGATATTTAGAGCTGGTTGGTGGTTTGGAACATGGCTTTTATTTTTCCATATATTGGGAATGTCATAATCCCAATTGACTTTCATATGTTTCAGAGGGGTAGGTCAACCACCAACCAGTAGAGGATTCACATGGCTGTGGACAGCTTGGCAGGGATTTCATGACGGATCCAAGGCATTCTGAACAAGTCACATGTGGGAAGTGCAGGTGCATCGACAGTGGCAACGGGGCGGGAGTGGAACCGTGTTCTAGTTGGGTTAAAGAACAACAGGTGTCAAAAGACAGTGTTCATCTTTAGAGCGAAGCGTTTCAGATTTCTCTGAAGCGTACTGTACACAAGCTAATCAGAGGATTCGCCCCCGTAAAAAGAAAAAGAAACATAAAGAAGGGCCGCTTCTGCAAGTTGGCTTCGGTGTACTGATCTTTTCCTCGAAAGTCGTAGCTGCATGACCCAGATTACCTGATTGACTGAACTTCCAACTCGAATCAACACGTGAATAAATGGAAAAAGTCAAGAGTTGACCCAAACTTTGGCATGCTTCCATTCAGAGATGGGTGTGTCTGAAAATAGAGAAAACCCCTAAACCCAATGGTTTTGCTGATCATTATCCCTATGAAAAATGGCTATTTCATTGGGAATATACCCAACATTTTCAGACAAACCCAGATCATCTTATTTGGAAACAAATGATGTGGCGTGCTTTTCTGTTGCCAGGTGCGAAGTAAGCGCAGCGTGCCAATGCACAGCCTGGCATGTTGATCCACCGCTGGGGTCTTCACTCATAAATGGTATCATCCCTGGTAATCTTTGTTGAGAAGCCATTGATTACCATCTGGTTATGACTAACATAGCCATGGAAAATCCCCAAAATAAATGGAGGTTTTAGTGGGAAAATCATCCATAAATGGGCCATCATTTTCCATGGCTATGTTAGTCATAACCAGAGGGTACGTTTGATGGAACTTCAACGCCCAGATTTGATTGTCACTTTCTCACAAGGATTCATGTCCCTGAAGAGAAATTGCAGTAGGGGATCACATATCTCAGATAGTACTCTACCGACATCTAATTGATTAAACTCTACATGACTGTAGGAAGGTGTATAGCAGGAGGATGTACTAATTATCTAATTGAATGCATCGCCCTGGCCTCTTGAGCCTCAAGCTTTGCACAATTAGGCATATCAGTTTTCAATTATTGATTCCTTTTATTTGTGCCTTCAATAAGTCCATCTATCATCTATCATCTATCATCTATCATTTATCATCATCATTCATTTATCATCATCATCATCATCATCATCATCATCATCATCATCATCTATCAAAAGAAAACATATATATATATTCTTCGCTGGTGATCCTCAGCAGCTGACATATACTATCGGACGTTTAACAAATGGCATTCTGTCTGACATTTCGACAACTTTCGACATGTTGACATGGCATTGGATTTGACGAATTACCAGTAGAATTCTGGCATTTCTAACCAACGGTTCTACCATGTTCTACCTGGGCCGCGCCAGGTTGTTGTCTCTATTTGGCAACCTTCCTGATTGTTGTGGGGATTGGCTTCGTTGCCTTGGGCTTGTCGTTGCCGCAGCTTTCCCTTGGCGCTTTCGGACTCTTGAAACAGGCCCTGCGATGGGGGGCTTAACCAAGGTGGTCTTTTTTTGGATCCTGGCTTCAAAATGAAGTGGAACCAGATTCGTGACCAGTGGAATGGATATTTGATGATCTTTGTATAGTCGTTTTTTTCATATGGAAATCCAATGAAATCCAACTCTTCCATATTTTCTCCGGCTCGCCTTTTTGGAACCGCCAGGTCGATGTGCCCCAAGGGGTGTCCGACGCCTTTTTCCAGAAGGCTTGGATGCAGATGTTGGTGCGGATGCCCAGTGGGATCCCGGGGTTTCCCGGGGCCAAGATTCTGGAAGAAAATTTCACCCTGGGCAAATTCAGATCTTCATGGGATATTGCAAGTTATAAGTATATATAGAAGTATCATATATGGGATATTGCTTGATATTTGATGATATTTGATGTATATCTATATATCTATAGTCAATCCATGTGCATCCCATCTATATATCTGGGTAAATTATAACGACCTCACTGTTCTCCCTCACTGGAAATCATGGTTAGTAAGGGGAATCATCCCCAAATGGCCTTATTTCAGGTTAGTGAATTATTGTAATTTGCCCATATATATATATAAGTATCATAAACATTCATAAACTGGTTGGTGGTTTGGAACATGGCTTTTATGACTTTCCATTCAGTTGGGAATGTCATAATCCCAACTGACGAAGTCCATCATTTTTCAGAGGGATTGAAACCACCAACCAGATTAATATGGAACATTCATGGACATATTATGACATATTAATATGGGATATTTTTTGGGATATGAATGGAATGTCCGTGGAATTTTGAATTTTGAGGGAATATGAATGGAACGTGCATGTGATATTGGTGAAAAGCCTCCAGTACTCAAACAATGGTTGGAAAGTCCCCAATTTAGTTGGATGAGTCGACAGAAGAGGCCTCTTGGAAGCAACCTTTTTTAGAAGTTGCCCTTTTAGTAGATCATTTACTTTGAATTGCCAGAGGGTAATATTTAGGGATGGGATTAATGGAGTGATGTTTCGGACATGGGACAAGATGACAAGGTTTCGAGCAATCGGACAATGCAATACATTGGTGACAACAGGTAATTCTTCGATTGGGTATTGTATCTAGTCTCCGAAAGATTTTGATAGATTGTGTTGTTGTACATAGTAGTCAGTAGAGTTACTTAAATATATTCAGCATGTCAATGTTGACCAACACTGACCAATGTGTATCAATAGAAGTCAATATTATACTTCATCATAGTATCATTGCCATCATTGTTTAATGATGATGACACTGCCATTAACATGATTATTTGAAATATTATGATTGAACAATATATTCTACCCTCCCCTAATCAAAGATGGCAATGAACATTATCTATACTGGAGGGCTTTAATGTGACAATCATCTAGAAAAGGGTAGTTTTCCATTGCTATTTTTGGTTCCCAGATAGTATTCTAGATGATTCATCATTGATGTTAGGGTTCAATAATCCTGGGATAATTCGAAGAAATAGAGCAATACAGCATCATATAACCATTGCTATGTTTAGGATTATTGGTGGTTTGGAACATGTTTTATGTTTCCATTCAGTTGGGAATGTCATCATCCCAACTGACGAAGTCCATCATTTTTCAGAGGGGTAGGTTGAAACCACCAACCAGATTATTATTAACCATCATTAACCATTTTTGATAACCATCATATTAACCATTATTAACAGTATATTAACCACATATTAACCAGAAAAAATACCATCATCCATTGTTGATTGGCCTTTTAAAAAACCACCGTCCATCGCCATCCTCCTGGCCCTCCGGGTGCCCAGGATCTCCAAAGTTTCAGCACACCTTTGATCCCAACAGGCAGCCATGGGGTGTAGCTGCAGGGTGTAAAAAAATCCACGCAATAGACATGGGGATGGACGGAATCAACTAGACACAGTTACATATTCATGTATTTTTAGATATGTGGTGTCTTCGAACTGGATGTTTTTTTTTTTGAAATGGATGATTCCCAAAACCATGGGTTTCATGGTTTAATGACTTGGATGATTTGGGGATCCTCGCATGCTAGGAAACCTTGGTATGTGTATACATGACCCACATGGTGGTAGGAATATGTTTGCATAAGATGTAAATATGGACATCTGGTTGGTGGTTTCAAACATGTTTTATTTTCCATTTCATATATGGGATAATCCTTCCCATTGACGAACTCATATTTTTCAAGATGGCTAAAACCACCAACCAGACATCGTATGTATGTCAGTTGAAACAAATGTGTTTTGGGAATGTCCTGACATCAACGTGCTCCGAGCGAAGGACATTAGAAGTGACCTTTTTCATTCCTTTTTCCACAATCCTCGACCAAGACCCAGCAATTGATCAGAAGGGAACCATTTAAGTAGCAAAACATCATTTGTTTGGAGTAACCGGAGTAACCCTCTAGTTCATCAAACAGGATAAATCTATGTAGATCTTAATTCAAGGTTGGCATGATTTCTGTAAAACGGCTCAGTTTCCGTCATGCACATGTCATCCCAAATCCTTCAACTCATTTTGCAAAGGTTCAGAATGGTATCACTGAATGTTTTGGATCTGCCGATGTCTACCCTTTATCCCAAAAAAGGTGGTTTCTATGAAACCGATAGCTAGGTGAACATGACTCCAATAGGACTTTTGAATACTTTTGATAGATACATGATAGTTATATGATGAATATATGATATATCTATAGTTAATGGATGTTAATGGGCTAACCCAACTTATAACTGAACGGGATACCCGCAGTGGGTATCATGGCAGACATCGACAGCTTGCCTTGCGGCAGGCAATGAGTCCGAGAACGTTGTGGCCTGAGATTAAGGATGGCAGGGCCTTAGTGTCTGAGTGTATTGTTTCATGGGATTTTATTGGATTGGGGTTTGATATAACCAACTAACCAACAAACATATGACCATTTGCCAAAAATAGTTGACAGAAATTTTGTACTAGTTGTTGATAATTAGTGTGGACCTAGTTGTTTTTCCTCTTCGTTATGAGGCAGCACGCAACTAAATTCACCAATTCTGCAAGGCAGCGCCAGCAAACCCGCTAGGTTTGCGCTAGTTTTTTTCACACCCATGTTCAAGGATATTTTCTTGTGTTCCTGTCTGCTTGTTATTTCAACATGAAGAAAAGTCAAGATGTAACACTTAGCTCCTTAAAACCTAAGGATGTCTTAGTGAATTTCTGTGCTACTAAACATTTTTTCCATATTTTTGAGGTTGCGGCTCAACTTTGCGAATTTGTACGTAATTTTACCCGCTAGATCCCCGCTAGCAATGCGGTAGCAAAAGTTTCAAAAAACGGCTTTGGTTGACCCGTGACCCAGTCGCCACCAGAGAACTTGTAGTTTATCCTGTCTGTTTGACAAAGCAACAGTGACAGCAAAGGCAACGACCAGCTCTGCAGATATTCCAGTTTCATCACTAACAACTAGCAGCGGCACCCACTTCATATAGACGCGCGTTAGCATTTACTGCAGGTTTTAGCTACGGCTTCAAACATGAAAGATAAAACGCAGGGTTTCAGACTATTTAGGTCAGTCATGGTTTTAAAGGCACACTAAGAAGCGACACGCAAGGAATTACGATCTATCAACAAAACCAGGAAAAACATTTTGGCAAACAGCCATATACAGTTACAAAAATGGTGATTTCATCGGATACAATGTCCTGTTGGAATTTTTGGTCGTAAAGTATGAATCCTTCAATAGTTCAAACGGAGTCGTTCGGACAGATATCAATTATATACTTAAAGGCTGAAAAAACATTTTTTTGTGGAAATGAGTTTCTTCCAACCCCCAACCCACGGGAGGCTCTATGTTCATTTTGGGAAGAGTATTAGTTACTTGCATAGTTTTACGACTCCATATCAAGCATATATGAGTTGTATTAGAATTTTATTTCTATATTGACCCAATAGACAACTATATACCCTGGGGGGGGGGGGCCGTGGAGTCTGCATGTTCACCAAAAGGTCCTGCTCCGTACTTCCTTCCAAGTAACCGGTATAACCGTTGTTTTTGTTAGGAGCCTCTCCCAGGGGGGTGTTGAAGCTTAAGTTTATATATATATACCCCATTTTGTCCCACCAAATATACATTCACATACGTGTATACATACATATATATATATATATATATCTGTATATACACATCTATAGTAGTTTATAGTATAGTGGTGTATAATATATATATATATACATAAATATGATATACACCACACCACTATACTATAGATGTATATACATATTTACATATGATAATTATACATCACCGCTATGTATATGTTCTCCATAACTCCAATTTGAGGCGTACCAATGGCATAGCCTGGAAGTGATCTGGCAGATGGGGCCATCCCTCAACGAGCGAGAAAAGGCCATGGAAAACACTGAGGTTTTCATGGATTTAATATGATGTATGGATGATGTATGGATGATGATTAATATGATGTTGTCTTATGTGTTTTGTTTTTTGTTTTTTGTTTTTGGGATCTATGGTGTTTCTAGACTTTGATGCCTTGGATATTGGAAAAAATGGAAAATTGGATCGATGGTTAATGCCATATTTGATAATATTAATCATAGTTAATAGATGATTGGAAATAACTATACCATATATTGGAAACAACTATATTTCCATATATTTCCACAAACTATGGATATTTGATGTGGAGAATCACCAACCAAAGCCATAGTTGTTTCCAGACGAGTCGTCATGGTGATCCATGGCGACCTGGATGGGAGCTGGGGGCGGCCCATTTCTGAACGATGGTTCAACGGGTAAGACGGGTGTTTGAAATTGCTGGATGTAATGATAAGAATTGGGAAAATGATGAGAATTCCAAAAGTCTGGCCACTTCAATTGGAGAATGATGAGAACCCATTGGTTTTTCTTTTTGGGGTATCCAACTGTCAAACCCAGATCGTCTGGATAAGCCTCGCTAGAGGGTATAAAAGTAGCCCCATGGATCCAGCCGTACCTTCTGAGGCAGTGTTTGGGGTATGGTTCTGGGGGCGCAGTGCCTTCTCAGAAAGTGTTTAGATAGGGTAGGATATACACTACCCTCCTATAGAAAGTTACTGTACTTGAACAGGGGAAAGTCCCCGATTTGCTGAATCTGTAATTTGGTATTTCCCCACTGATTCCTGGTTAATCCAGCATTCTGGGAATGTGTGTTTTGTTTGGGGGATCAGCACGGAAATTCAAGTAGTCACAAACATGTTGTAAATGTGGTTTCCAGTTGTTTCCTTTTTTTACTGCAGCTGGTAGCCGCCTGTGCTGCTACTCATTGTCAATTGGGACAAACAAAATTTTGCCGAGAAGAAACATGTTTTACAGGCAATTCGGCGAGGATGGTACACAAGTTTATTCAACATGTGAACCCAAGTATCAGAACAACACATCAAAGTGTGCCAAAAGAGATAGACAAACTGTTTCCTGTCATGATTCATGATCAATTGTGCCAATGGTTCCTTACTTCTATGGTGCAGTTTTGTTCCGAGGGGATGTGCCTAAAATCGTCAATTTCCCCCATGAAGAAGACAATCTAATGACCGTGAACTCACCATGTTTGGACAGGAGCATATTACACCATAGTTAACAGTAGTTATGTTTTATGGAATAACAATGTTAAAATTCAAAATGTTTGATGCTTTCAAACTTTCAATCCCCCCCACCAATGCCTGCTATTTCTATTGTGGAGGTTCAATCCCATTTGTGTTTTGCTTATATAAATCATCTCAAGCATGTTTTTTGATGGGTAAATCTCCATATGTTGATGATTCTTGATCTCCATTTCTTGATCTTGAAATCTCCATTGTTCAATGGTTAAATCATGTTAAATCTCCGTTTCTTGAAGTTGAAATCCCCCATTCCCCACGGATGATTTTTCACGTCCCGCACCTTTTTATGCTGCGCGACTCGAAAAGTCACAGGGCTTTCGCCCCAGCGTGGTGAGCGACACCTACCTCTCCGAAGTGAAGTCGGCCGAGGAGATCGGTGGAAGGTAATGGGTCAACAGCTATTATCGAAGGAAGGTGCTAAACGTAGGGAATGATCCCATTAAAAGTTATTTTTGATAGTTATTATTGATAGTTATTATTAATAGTTGCTGGGATGATTATTAATAGTTATTGATGATCCATAATAACTATTAATAATAATCCCAGCAATTCCCAGCAACCCATCCATTCCCTACGTTAAACGCACCACTTTGAGTGGGATGAACATTGACCATGACTTGGGGTTCAGGTGCCAGGTTTTTGACTGATAGCCGTGGGGTTCAGGAGATGTTTCAGCTAAGAAATAGGCCATCTTGATGGGCTAAGAACTAGGGAGTGATAGTACACTACTACCAAATGAATATTGGGGATTATGATAAGCCAGAGTAGGGGGTCTACTATCAAGCTAACAACCTAAACATCAAGGTTTACTGGATGGTAGTTTGCAATTTTCATTCAATAAATTTGACCGACGACTCCAAGCACTTTCCAAGCTCGACCCTGTTTGGGTCAGGAAGCGTTGAGATCTTTGTCTGGCTGGACGGAGTTATGTGAGGCCGTGCCGATAGAGGCACGCCCTGGGGTAGTCCCCAAATAGTGATGATCTGATACTTACAGTAAATGGTACCCCACCAATTAGACAGCCTAGGGGGTCATTGATCCAGGATTGACATTAATTACTTATGACAGTTGATAGCAGTTTTTTCACGAATGGCTTCGAGAAATTGCACATGAACTTTATATCGCTGGGAACCAAGCGGCCATGACCTCAAAACATACTGATGCACTGCCTGTTGAAGCCAGTACAAGATCATTACTGGTTCGTGGTTTGGAACATGTTTTATTTTTCCATATATTGGGAATGTCATCATCCCAACTGACTTTCACTCCAGCATTTTTTCAGAGGGGTAGGGCTCAACCACCAACCAGTCATTATCATCCAATATTTCTTCATGAAGTAATGGGGTCTCTCTTAATATGGCTATGGATCAATACCTATACATACCATTTTTAGTTCAGCTATTTTGATGTTCACCAGGGCTACAAGGTTTTGACACACTGCCATATGGTCGTCCCAATCATCCCTCTCCAAGAATTCACCCTGTTTCGGGAGACCAGGTACGTTTCCTCTGCAGCGTTGGAGATAGTTTGGTGGCGATGGCTTTCGGGTCCTGGCAGGTCCTGCTGGGCGGAATCGGTTTTTTCTTCGTTTTGGGGGTTACAATAAGAACGGATCAAAATTGGATAGCCCAAGAGTTGGATGGTTCATACCTAGATTTGCTCCAACTCTGTTTTTTTTTTGCAGGAAAGTGGGATTGTCATAATAGAGACCAGATAGACCAGGGAAGATCTGTGGTTTTACCAAGGATGATGAGGTTTGGATGTGCATAATAACCTCGGCGTAAGCATCGTAAGCATCGTAAGCATCGTAAGCACGTGGTTTTGATCACCCAGACATTTTACTGGGCATGTCTATGGATATCCCGCTAATCTAATTGGGGTTATTACATGTACTACATGGCGATGTCTATTTGGTTCTGAATTTAGGTGATTGGACAGCATGTATAATTCACCAACTAGACGCTGTAGCCGATGATGCTCATTTATAATTGTGGATAACCAATTGAACTGATGGAGGATGGAGTTCTGAACTTGATGCATCTTGCTGCAACATTCCAGTTATGAATTTCTTCGTGAAGTTCCACAAAGAGGTGGGTTAGATTTCAGCATAGAAATCTAGGGGTTGGATTCCCAACTTATGGAGATGATAATCTCATAGGATTTCCCTACTGAAGATGATGCATTTCTCTACTGGAGGCACCATCCCCAATTGTCAGTGCTGAATCCCAATGTGTCTTGCTGAAATCTCGATGGTTGCTAGACATCCCTCTCTTTTTGGGTAAATCTGAGTATTTGTTTGATATGTTTTGTTGTTTCTGGTTGAAGACAAAACTTCCAGATGTACCATGGTTTCAAGTGAACAGATCTTACATGTTCCACATGGTCATTTGCAATTTCCTGTCATTTACCACGTGTTTCACAGGTTCATGAAGTAATTCCACAGGTTTTTTCACCGCCAGGTGAGGGTCTCTAGCTTTTATCAGAGTTTCGTCCTGCGAGATCTAGATCTCAGAGATCGAGGGTCACAGACAGCTTGCGGTGTCCGGCAGTGCCCATGGATAGAATGTCAGAATGCCGGATAGAATGCCATAGAAGTTATCTATGATTATCTATGTACATGTCATGGTACTGGTCTAAAAAAAAGAAGAAATGTCAGTGCCAGAAAGATGCCAAATAAGATCTCAGAATAGATGCCAGATAGAATGTCAGAATATTATTCCGTATATACTTCCAGATGAGATGCCAGAAGCTTTGACAAAATAACTTGTCACGGTGGGGATCACTCGAAGTAGAGTTTTTCTTTCCAAGGAGCATGCAAGTTCCACATGCTACAGTAATGTGTAATTCCTTTGATATCCCACATGTTCCCAGGTTCATGTTGTGATGAGCCATGTTGGAACATTGATGACAAGTAAAAACACTTTCCATGTGAAACAATTCCGCGCATACCATGTTTTGAGATGTTAACTTCATGCCGTTGGACATTTCCACATTAAAGAATGCCATGCAATTCCAGTGTTTCCAGTTTCCACCCCATGTTAACCATGCATTATGTTCGACAAAATTCCCATGTTTTGACGGCGAAGAAACCGCTGCATGAGGAGGCTGACATGGAGAAGAAACTACAGGGCTTGGACTGGGAGGCGAACGAGTGTAATGGCCACTGGTTCCGCGAAAAAAGAAACCCGGGTTGGTCTACCCCAATTCATCCGTCAAATTATTTAAGTACTTTAATCTTTGTAAATCAGAACAATGGATTTAGATGTTGAATAAAATGCTGAGACTTGTTTGAAATGTCCATATTCCCCAGGATGACTATGTATCAATAGATATATATATATATATATACACATATAATTATATATTCCCAGACCTTCCAAGTATAGTACCCCACCCAAAAAAAGAAATGGTAAAAGTACTAAAAAGTGATGGGGTAAAACACGTGTTCCATGGGTACATACAGAGGGTCACATGGTATATCATGGCATATATCTAAATAGTGTAATCAACATACTGATAGGGTTGTAACTTCTAATGTTCATGGATTTTAAACACCAACTTATTATCAACATATACATATTATATATATATGTGTGTCTCATGACCAAAGATTTTGGTTTATAGTTGAATTATATCAATAATCTACCAATATCCGGTTGAATTATTCATAAATAGTTGATTTATTTATACATATGAGCCTTATAATTATAACCTATATATCATATTATATACTCATATCATTTCATATCCCCCTTTGCTCCATGTATATGATTATATACACATAGTTACCTACATAACTGGAATGTTATTCTTTTGATCAATGGATTGGTTACATGGAAAATCTTAACCGGAAAAGCCATCGATTTTCCCATTAGATATGGGGCTTTCCTGTACATGTTCCTCTTAAAAAAACAATCCATTGATTAGATATCCCCCTTTGTATATGATATTTACCTATCTAACTGTGATATTTTTTGATATTTGGAGGTTTCCTAAGTCCTGGGGGTATCCCCCAAATCATCCATTGCTAGGATGTTCCATTAAAAAAACACATCTATTTTGGGGTACCCCCATTACTATCCAGTGGTTAGGAGGGAGCTAAGGAGCTATGGGTATTCATATTCCCTATTAAATATTATTAAATGGTGAGCTAAGGAGCTACCAAGAGTTTCCCAACCACATACTAGTTTAGAAATCATCCATCCATTGCTAGGATTTTCCATCAAAAGAAACATTTATTTTGGGGTACCCCCATTTTAGGAACCTCCCATTTGTTGATCAAATCTTCCGCGAACTGCGGGCAGGTGACGTTCGATGCCCAAGGAGTACCGCAGCTCCCGGTGGAGACCTTGTTGGCCTTCGCCCAGCAGCGACTCGATGGATCGAGGGCGATTTTCACCATGAAATATGTGGTTTTCATGGAGAAAAATGTTTTTTTTTGCAAGAAATATGTGAGTGGCACATATGAACAGGTTCTGAAGATGTTTTTTTGGGGAGATTTAAGCAATGTCAAAACAAAAAAGGGGGTCGTAAGCACATGAAAATGGTGTCTTGACATGGCTTCACCATCAACCGCGTGATGATTCGGTTTCCGGTTCAATGAGATTTATATATATATATATTATTATCGGTAAGGGCCATATACGATAAGCGACAAGACTTGAGCAACCAACAAAATACATGGTTGTTCCAACCTAAGAGTGATATATGGCCTTGTTATTTTCCATATGTTGCCTCTGCCCAGTTTCCCTTCCTTTATCTGGTGTTGGGAACAGCCCTGAAATAGGGAATCTGTTGGATCCAAGACGGACAATCTTCTGTGCATTCACGGGAAGTATTGGGGGTCGTCTCGTGATGATTGTTGGATTGCATCATTGTCTTATGATGCTTATGAGTTGTCATGCTTGGTGTTTTTGTTTGACAAACTTAAGATTGTTTTGTTTTAAAACAATAATCTAAAATGACTGTATTGGCTATGATTGCGATTCTCATTCTTTAGATGCTGATTATGACTGTAATGGTGTGTCAGGGGTTACGCCATTTTGGAAATCCATATCTATTGGAAATCATTCCTCCAACGGTGGTGGTTCTGGTGTTTGGCCGGCCAATTGTTTTGGGACTCGATTTGAAACCGAACATGTTCTTACATGTGTTTCAACCAATATTCTATCAAAGTGACACTTCTATGTTTTCCGTTTGAGGACATCATGTCAATCCACGTCTTGATTCATTCTTATTGATTACTTCACATATACCCTCTGGTTATTTAACATAGCCATGGAAAATGGCCCATAGAAATAGATGGTTTACCTATTAATAGCATGGTGGATCTTTCCATGGCAAACTGTTAGTCATAACCAGATGGTATATCCAATGTATAGAGTGGTTCCATAGCTTCCAGGTGTTCTATCACAACCCCTCATCCGACACGTGGATCCAGGGTGCGGCCTGAGCTTTTGGAACGTTGGCTGCCGAGAGGCGCCTATGGGTGGAGTTTTCCGACCCTCCAAGCACCGGAAGGGAAAATGGGGTGAACATGGAGTGTCAACCTCCTTTTTTAAGATCAATGAAGTACCTCATTTTTTATGGGAAAATGGAGGGAAAATGATGGATTTTATTCCCAAGCTTTATTGGGATTTGACCAGTTTTGATGGCTATGTGGAGGATCTAAGTAGCCACTTTCTTCACTGTGTTATTCATTTGTGATTGCTTTTCTCGTCCCATTCACTGGCTCACTGGGAAGATGGGAGTATGGCTGTTAGTACTAATCAGCCAATATTGTGGCTTCCCAATCTTGGTTCACTCTCGTTTTCCATGGTTTAGTCATGTTTAGTCTCCATGTTTGCTCGCAAAAAAACAAGTCCCTTTTTTTGTTTTGTCCCCACCTGCAAGGTGAAGGCTATGTAGATTTAACAAAGGTGCAACTCATCAACTCCTTCTTTTTCTTGTTCCGCCGACTCTTATGGCACCTTCACCGTTGTAGCCTGGGAAAAAAAATGAGGGTCGGTCAATCGGATCCACCCCTGCCACAGATAGCTGGAGCCTGGAAGTGGCAAGTCTGCCATTCTCGCCTTGGGGCCAAGAGGATGGATGGATGGAACCGGGGTTCACTTCCGGGGATAGCCATGGAGAGCCCCAATTCCGCTGGATTTTTGGGGGGTATCCATGGCTATCCCCTGACAAAAAAAACATATGAACATGAATGAAATACACGCAGATCTAGCTGGTTGAAACATGTTGAATCAATGTACGTAGAATCTTGCGCAAAAAATATAGCTGTATAGCTACTTAAAATGTTGCAAAGGCAAAGTGCTTTGAGAGTTGAATCTGTTGATGAATCTGGAAATTGCTATCATATAGCCATATCTGACAGTTGTTTAATGTGGGAAGGACAAAAAATTGCGATTTCCCAGATTACTGGAGTATTCAGCTGCGGAACATGGCATAAAATCCAACCAATCTACTATAGAATCTACATCAGTCAAACTGTCTGAGGAATCCCCACTGGGGATTTGTTCGGGCTACTGCTATTGGTCAGAAAAAATATGCATGTCGAGTATCCCATCTTTGTAGATTCACATTTTAGGCAGCTTAGAACTTGGAACATGTTTGATTCTGCAAACCATTCAACCATGGCCGTGTTGAGAATGTCCGGGCATGGCAGAGGATTTCCACTGCAAAACGGAAACTATTTACTGTAACCAGAAATCTCGAAGTTGACCGGGTTGTCCTTATTCCGAAAGCTGGTTAAAGAGTAAAATCCTCCACTGGTTTATAGAGGGTTTAGAATGTATGGGTTTCCTGTACAATTTCTTCAACCTCGCCCTCCAAATAGCACTGAGAAATGGCAAAAGTAGTGAAAATATGAGGTAAAGCACCATGTTTATGGGTACAAACGGAGGGTCCAAGAGGGTCCTTACAACGTGTCAATATGTTTCAATCCTTTCTATGCATGTGTGGGCTCGTGGGAGAGATCTCAGGGCCGACGTCTCACGACCAGTATCGGGTCATCGGGTCCAATGCCGAGAAGACGAAATCGCGGAGAGCGGGAACCCATCCGGCATGTGCTACCTACGCCTGGTGAGCCGTTGGGGTACTCCCAGACTTAGCGAAGATGTTGAATGTTTGTCGGTAAATTCTTGGATTTTTATCCCTGATTCCCATGGTTTTGAAACGTCAATAGCAATCAGTTTTCCAAGGGGTGGTGCCTCTGCGGACCCAAAGGTTGGCGACCTTGCCAGCGGCTGGGCGGCCCGAAGCTTATGCCAGAGAAAATGCCAATGTATCAGCAAAAATGTCAGATAGTTTGTCAGCTAGAATGCCGCAATCAAAAGGCAGATAGAATGATATAGAATGTCAGATAAGATGTCAGACAAGATGTCAGATAGACTGCCAGTTGAATTGTCAGATCGTATGTCAGAATACATGTCAGATAGAATGGATCAGAATGTATGTCAGATCACATATCACATAGAATGTCAGGTAAAAGGTCGGAATATATGTCAGAATTGTCAGAGAGGAATGCCAGTTGAGAGGACAAACTATTTGTCGGATAGACTGGCAGATAGAATGCTGTACAAAAAGTTCAGATAGAATGTTTTATAGAATATCAGTGAAAAGTATGTCAAAATATGTGTCAGGTAAGAGGTCAGATAGAATGTAAGAATATGTGAGGGTATATGCCACGGTGGGGATCACACAAAGTATTTTTTTTCCAGTGATCCAGTCGTCAGTGAGGTATGCGTTTGCCGATATTCTCTACTTGTTCGACATGGATGCAGAAAATGCATCTCACTGTGAGATCGTCCGCAACCTCATCCGAGACACGGAAGAACGGCGCAAGGTCTGTTTGAAACGTCCGAGCGATGCCCCGCTGGGTTTGATAGTGGCAGAACCTAAGGAGAACCAAGCCCTGCTTGTTCTCCAGCGGGAGTCAGACGTCATTCAAACCTGGAACCGGCAGAACCCTCATCTACAGATTGAGGTTGGCCAAGGTATTTGGGAAGTGAATGGTATCTCGGATGATTTTGGTGGTGTTGAGCCTTTTTTTTTTTTGCTTTTTCCGTTGTTCAGGACACATTTACACCATTCATATCCCAGGAGATTTGGTTGTTTTTTCCATGACCTTATCATCTCTAGACCGTCGGGGGATGCAAGAAAAGACCAAGAAAAGACCGAGGTCGGAGCGATCCTTTTGAGATGTATGAGGAACTTCAGCATGCCGAAACGCTTCAGATCATGCTGAAGCTGAAGTTGACAGAGGTCTGAGTCATGGTGTGATGGTGCAATGGGACAGGGACCGGCCCCTCCAAAACATTGTGTCAAACGGGGTCTGGTTTGATTGGGGGCAGCTCTTTGTGATATGTTTTTAAAGGTTATGGTGTCCAAGATCTGACTGAACCCGTTCAACTGATTGAGCTGATTGAACTGATTGAACTTGAGCTGATTGAATTTGTTTCTGGTTTAATATGTGTCATTAGTTTTCCATTCAGCATGGCTACGATTTCCGTCCAAAATGGCTAAGGTGTTCAAACAAAAAAAACAATGGGATGTTCCTTAATGGAAACAGCATGGAATATATTGGTGACCCTAACTTCTCACCAAACTGTCAGTCAAAACCTGTCCATCATCCCGTAAATTGGACTTCGAGAGGCTGAAGAATGTCACTTGGAAGAGTCTTTGTCAAAGTTCCGCATCCAGAGATATCGTCCCATGCTACGCAGCAGCATCATCAAAGAGGTGGAAACTTGCTCGATTTGCTACGAGGACATGAAGTCTGCCACTTGCCATAGAATTTTTGAACTGGATTTGTGTGGGGTCATAGCGGTTGTTGGGTGGTCATGAACGGGATGAAACTGATTACATCAATATTTTTCCCCCCCTCCCGTATGTTGTTTGCAAATAATTGTATATTACCCTGGAAGTCGGGGACCTCTTCTTTTGGGGTCCTCGGAATTGCTTTGAACTAGGACCTCAAAAGTCCATCCTCGGCAATACTTCACAACCATCACTTTTGGGGTCCCGGACCCTAAAAGAAATGACCACTCAGGATCCCAAATCTTGCTGCTCTTGGCTTATTTGAGCGGTTGACCATGGCCGCAATATGATGTATATATATAATATCATGATATATCCAAAATCTGTGAATTCGACTGGACAGAACTTTTTGAAATGAAATTGTTGGGTGCTCCAATTGCTTTGATTAGGCTATCCAATTGGGTTACTGGGATGCATGTTCTTTTCTATCATTGCCAATGCTAAGAAAACACAGGACCATGTATTGGCAGGAATGATGATTAACCGGTTAATATTTACCAAAATTTGAAGCCGAGAGAAATCGAGAGAAATCGAGAGAAGTCGAGAGCGGGTGCTATGTAGGACCCTAAAAGTTCACTCGGAGACCCTAAAAGTTCACTCGGAGACCCTAAAAGTTCACTCGGAGACCCTAAAAGTTCACTCGGAGACCCTAAAAGTCAACTCGGCAGCCATAGAAAATCGAGAGAAGTCGAGAGAAATCGAGAGTAGTGATTTTCAAACCCATGTCAAATCATCACTTTTTGGAAGTACTCTGACGGTCCATTATCTACACAACATGCATTGCTTAGGGATGATGTGCTCAGATTTTTCTACTGCGCCTGGGTTGCATACCTTCAGCCTGACTGATATGGAAAAGCTAAATGCCCAGGCGCAAAAGCGTCACCAGTAAGCTTGGATGCCAAAATTCGAGAGGAAAATCAATAGCTGCTGGAAGTTCAATGGGGTTGGAAGTTTTGAGATGTTATGATTACTCGGCGCCTCGGCGCGTGGATTCTCGGCATTGTTAGGGATCGCTCGGCGAAATTGACTTTTGGGGTCCCCTCGGCAAGGACCTCTTCTTTTAAGGCCTTTTGACTTTGAGGGTTATATAACGTTGTTTGCATCACCCACAATGTATCACCGTGTGGATGCTTTTGGAAAGGATTGAATTCCTTGAGCTAGAAATAGTCATGTCCACAAATGTCATGAAAACCCTCGCGGTGTGGGGATAGTTTACCCTCTGGTAAACTAACATAGCTAGCTATTGAAAATGGCCATTTATCGAAGGAAGTTTAGAGTTTAGAAGTCAAACTTCCGACAATATGGACAGATGAAAAGCAGAGATAGGAAGAGTAAGAGAAGAGAAGAGAAGAGAAGAAGAAAGAAGAAAGAAGATCAAAAAGAGAAAGTCCCCGAAGAAAGAAGATCCAGGTGCGCGAAAAGGTAGGAAAATCGCGAAACACTGTGTTTTTCCAATGATTTGTGGCTCCGGAGGGTCGAAAAGTAGGCTCGCTAAAGAGGCGGGTGCGGAGCCATCTGGCGAGATGAGAGATGAAAAATTGACACTACGCCACACTACACCACACCTCACCACACCATACACTCAATTACACTACACTACACTACCCTACCCCACATTGCATTTCATTACATTACATTGCGCTACACTCATTACACCACCGCAAGTGCAACTGCAACTGCACTACACTAATTACACTACACCACAACTACAACTCCACTACACTAAAACAACAACTACAGCTGTACTACACCACACTACATCCAGCAGTTGTGAGTGAGGTGACCGACCAGGTGACCACTGCAACCATTGCAGCCACTCCAAAAAACACAGCTCCAACCACCTTTCGGTCCATCAGTGGATTCGCTCTGCCATCCGTGATTCACAACAACCAATCTCTCCTATAGGTTTCCTATTTTCGAAACTTCCGCAACTGCCTTGTGCGGTACTGCTGGTAGTTGATTTACCCACTGAAAATTGTGATTTTCCATAGTTATGTAAACGTTTACCAGAGGGTACAAGTTTTCGTCCGGGACTCGCAATGTCTAAACACAGCGGATTGGGCTGGATGTGGTTTGGGAATGGTTGTATTTTTCCTCACGAAAGGCAATTGGTTGGCACTTCAGTCTTTGGGATGGGACCAAATGGAAGAAATTCCCATGGAAATTCCCGCCAAGGCGGATCACGAAGTCGTTCGCTTGGTTGCGTGCCAGCATCATTTTCACCCCAAGTGTGTGTCAGAGTGGCTGGACAAGTCGCAAGGTGCGATGCGTTGTCCACTGTGTTCCGCTCAAGTCGGACGTCCCTGACGCATGGTGGTGGGTGACCACTGGTGGATCGGCCGAAGGAGCCGGGCCCAAACTTTTTTCAGTCACCAGGGGTCGGTAATGTCCAGTGATTCCAGTGAAAGTGGTATCTTGACATTTGTTGAACATATCAATGGTTGGTTTTGGATATCTCAGGTTGGTAAATGATGATAAATGATGTAAGTTATCCAGTTGGTGGAGTCGATAGATCCCACAAAACATCAAATATGTTTGATGTATCTTGAACATATCAAAGGATGGTTACTCTCTGGTAACATAGCTATTGAAAATGACCATTTATAGTGGATTCACCCATTCAACATGGTGATTTACCATAGTTATGTAAACGTTTACCAGAGGTTAAATCCATACATCCCATCTTTGTTGGCCTTAAATCACTGGGAATCACTGGGACATATAACTACCGATGGAAACTTTGTTAGTTTCCACCCCTCGAACGGAACCAACGCGGCATCATTTGAATGTCATGCGGCTCTGTGCGTGAAGCGCGTTGCATTTCGACCTGACAAAGTGATCTCCCAGGTCAGGATTTGTGTATTTCAATGAGAAAAACAACAAGAGTTCCATATGATTCCAACCTGCGGGAGACCATCAGCAGCTTCCAGGGAGTCGAATTACTCCGCTTTTTGTTCACAAAACCGTGGAAACAAATTGTGACTTTCGGACTGGATTGCGCAGAAACTAAGCTCTACTTTGCATGTGTAATCTATGATTTATCTATGTATCTTACTATATGGTATATTATGCAGTATGCATGTTTCATGGTTTTTGACCAACACATGCATAATGCAAGTAGCCAATAATTGTCACACCAGTTTTTGTTGCTGTTTTTACATGGATTTCAGCCATCAGACTGCAGCTCATCGTGGAAAACCTTTGCACATGCTTGGGTTCCATGTGGAGGTTTCCTGAAATGGGGGCATCCCTAAATCATCCATTTATAGCTTCGGATTTTCCATGAAATAAACCATCCAGCGAGCTTGGGGATCCCCCATTTATGGAAACCTCCATGTAAATCAACCAATTCATCGGCAAGTTCACTGTAGGATGATCGGCATGTTTTTGGATTTCCATGGGATGCTGTCGGAAGCCCAAAATTTGAGGGGCTTCTCTGACGTCAGTTCAACCCTTTTGGCCCCTGATTGTTTCCGGAGCCCAGCCAAAGTTTTAAGTGAAGGGTTGGAAGAAATGCGATCAATGCCGGCATGGATGATTGATTGATATTGCGTTGTCACAAACTGTGGTTTGATGTTTTGACGTTTTTTGAGTCTAGTGGTGACCAGGTCAACACCGTATGGACACCATGAAAGACTCAAGTCCCCTCCTGTCCTTCAGTGGCGTCTAAAGGTGACCAAAAAAAATGTGGACACCATTTTCAAGACAGCCATTGCTTTGCGGCTTTGCTTTAAAAGAAGTTCAAAGCCATGTGGCACCGCTTCACCCAAGTAACGGGCCACCAAACGAGCGCCAAGCCAAGGCAAAAGTGAAAAGCGGGCGTGAGGGTAGGCCTCAATGGAAAATCCTCATTCAAATCCATCACAGAGAACATTCCTATCATTCCCGATTGCAAATTCATCTTAATAGCTATGTGCAGACGATTTACCTATCATGAAAATTGGGCTTTCCCATGATTTCTCATTTCTAGGCTACTTCAATTGAAAAAGTTGAAAAAGGAACACACTGGGAGAGCGCAGGGCGCAGGGCGGCAGGGTGAGAAAAATCATGCGCTGAGGCGGCAAATCCTTCGCTCAACCTTTCTGTTCTACTTGCCTTTGGAGGCCAGGACTTCAGCAAGTGGAGTTCCAGCCTAAACAAAAGCTAGGGTTTTGGGATGTTAATAGGGTTGAGGCTTTGGGATGCTAAATTTTGCTTTGATAGAAAAAGATATGGATACGGAGGTTTGCTAAAATAATTAAAACGGGGGATCCCCAGTCGTCACCATAGGTTTCAAGGATGTAAAGGATGTAACATGATACTAAAAAAGTCTGACTTGGATGATGCAAGGGGGTATCCCCATGACTTAGGAACCCTTCATGTGGTTATAACATAGACCCGGGCAAGCCGGCGGCGGAAGTTTCCCAAACATAAATGACCTATAGTTCAAAGACACCCTGTCCCGACCGTGTCCTTCCCTCGACACTCCACACCTCACACTGCACACTGCACTCTTCGCACTCCAAACTTCAAACTTCACCCTCCACACTTCACACTCCACACTTCTCACTTCTCACTGCTTCCTTCACACTCCAAACCTCACACTTCACACTTCACACTGCACACTTCACACTTCACAGTCCACACTTCACACTTCACACTTCACAGTCCACACTTCACACTTCACACTTCACAGTCCAGACTTCTCACTTCTCACTTCGCACTTCACACTTCACACTTCACACTCCACATTTCACACTTCTCACTTCTCACTGCTTCCTTCACACTCCAAACTTCACACTTCACACTTCACACTCCACATTTCACACTTCTCACTTCTCACTGCTTCCTTCACACTCCAAACTTCACACTTCACACTTCTCACTTCGCACTTCACACTCCACACTTCACAGTCCACACTTCACGCTTCTCACTTCACACTTCTCACTTCTCACTGCTTCCTTCACACTCCAAACTTCACACTTCTCACTTCGCACTTCACACTCCACACTTCACTCACACTTCACACTTCACAGTCCACACTTCACACTTCTCACTGCTTCCTTCACACTCCAAACCTCACACTTCACACTTCACACTTCACGCGGCGCTCTTCGCACTCCACACTTCACAGTCCACACTTCACACTTCTCACTTCACACTTCTCACTTCTCACTGCTTCCTTCACACTCCAAACTTCACACTTCTCACTTCGCACTTCACACTCCACACTTCACAGTCCACACTTCACACTTCTCACTTCTCACTGCTTCCTTCCCACTCCAAACTTCACACTCCAAAACTCACACTTCTCACTTCGCACTTCGCACTCCACACTGCTTCCTTCACACATCCAAACGTCACCCTTTCTCACTCGCGCACTTCACACTCCACAATTCTCACTTCTCATCTCACTGCTTCCTTCACACTCCAAACCCACACTTCACACTTCACAACTGCAACACTCACACTTCACACATCCCCCCCGAACTTCACACACTTCACACTTCAAACAACAGTCCACACTTCACACTCCAAACTTCACACTTCACACTTCTCACTTCGCACTTCACACTCCACATTTCACACTTCACACTTCAACAGTCCACACTTCACACTTCTCACTTCTCACTGCTTCCTTCACACTCCAAACTTCACACTTCACACTCCACATTTCACACTTCTCACTTCTCACTGCTTCCTTCACACTCCAAACTTCACACTTCACACTTCACACTTCTCACTTCGCACTTCTCACTTCACACTTCTCACTTCTCACTGCTTCCTTCACACTCCAAACTTCTCACTTCTCACTGCTTCCTTCACACTCCAAACTTCACACTTCTCACTTCGCACTTCACACTCCACACTTCACTCACACTTCAGTCCACACTTCACACTTCTCACTGC